TCAGAGACAGAGGCCCTCACCCGCCTCGGTGAGCTTCAGTTTCCTGTTCTCTAAGATGAGCGTGAGTGCGGATGTCCTGGGGACACCGCGGTGTGTGGACGGAGGCCTGAGGGCCCCTGTGTCTTCCTCACAGTTCAGCTGACCGGATGTCTGGCCAGTGCATTCAGGAGCAATCAGTTTGGAGGTTTCTTCCCTGGTCTGTCCCGGGGCCTGGAGCCATGGCTGAGGCAGCGGGATCTTTGTGTCCCCCAGACGGGCCCAGACGCACCCCATGCCGCCTCCTCCCTCCTCCGCGGCTCTTCTCATGTGTCCGTCTCTCTGCCTCCCCTGCACTGGCCGCCCGCGGCGGCGCCATCTGTGCCATCTGTTCCAAAAACTTAAAAAACAAAACTCGGAACTGCTGCCTGCACTTTTCAGTGGGGCTGCGGCGGGAGGGGCAGCGGCTTCCTCCGTGCGGGGTCTGCGGGCCGGCGAGGCGGGGGCAGACGGGCGGAAGCTGAGCTGGAAGGAGCCGGAGCCTTCTGAGGGGCTGGCTGCGAGATTCATCTTCTCCCTGAATTCTAGCTTTATTCCTCCTGGTTCATGCCTGCTGGGAGGAGCCGCAGATCTCGGCCGCATCCGGGTGCATTCCTCTGCAGCGTTTCTGGAATGCTCCGAGATGCCTGGTCGGAGCCACCTTAGGAAGCAGGTCCGGAACACCCAGGATCTGGACCTCATTCTTTTTTAATTTACAGGAAGGTTCCTTGCAGCCCGAGGAGCTGCCTTCCTGAATGTTGCACCAAGAACTCAGAATTCGAGTCTGTGGGACTGTCCTTGCCCCTACCCCACCCTGTTCTCAAGTCCAGGCAGCCTCACCCTCATGGGATGTGGATACGCCTGCCCTTCTCTCTCCAGGCCTCCCCACCCCTCCCCATGCCCTCTGCTGGGAATGCCCTTCCCTTCTCCCCTTGTGGCCAACGCCTCTGCCCTGTAGCTTCCCCCCCGCCCCCGTACGTGCCTCCTTCGGGAAGCCGCCCACCGGATTATGTGCGTGGCTCTGCTGGGCTGAACTGGGTCCCTGAGCCCCTCCTGTGGTGTGTGATGCCCTCTGTGTCCCCGCTGTGCCCCTCCTGCCTCCCAAGCCTCTGGGCTCCTGACTGGGAAGCCAGGGACCCCTCCATCCTCCCCTGCTCCCACCCCCTGAGAGTCCAGAGAAAACCCCGTTAGGCAGACAGAGAATCGTCCACAGAAGGCGCACGAGATGTCTGCACACTTTTCCCAGGGCTCAGTTAATTGAAGAACTTGGCCAACGAGCACGGGAAATTAATCGCGGCTTGGAAATGGGACGTCCCTTGCGTGTGGTTTGTCTGCCTGGGCCTCGGCACCGCTGCCCGCGTCCCCTGCCTGGAGCTGGGAGCTTTGGGGTCCGGGCGGAGGCCTCTGGGTCGCACATGTGGGCGGGGCCGAGGCCCCCTGGTGACGGTGCCTCCGGACCAGTGCCTTCGAGCTGGAAGCTGTGGGCCTGTGGGGGCAGTCGGTGTCTCCTGGGGTGCCCGACACAGAGCCTTCCTGGTGCTGCTGTGCCCGTGTCCACTGTGGGATGGCAGCTGGATAGGGCAGGCCCAGCCTGTGGGGGCAGCTGGTGTCTCCTGGGGTGCCCGACACAGGGCCTTCCTGGTGCTGCTGTGCCGATGTCCGCTGCGGGGCGGCCCCTGGGCAGGGCAGGACCAGGCTGTGGGTTGTGGTCTTGGGAGTGGCGGGGAGGGGTGCAGCGAGGGACGGGCGCTGGCTCTTGGACCCGCCCGGCCTCCACACGCGGTGCTGCACTTCAAACTTCTCATGCGGCTCCGGACCCTCCCCTCAGCCTGCAGGGACTCTGCTTCCTGGAAGCCTCTGCACCCCCGCCTCTGCCCCTGCAGCTGGAGCTCCGGCTGGCCTGTCATCCTGGGCTGAGGCGTTCTCGCTGGCCTGTGTGCAGGCTCCCAGTTCCCACGAGGTGGGTCCTGGTGGGGCCTCTCTCTGCGGCTGCAGGCCGGCTGGTGAGGTCCTGGGCGGGTGTGTGGCCTGGACCTGCCCTGGAGCTGAGCTTCCAGTGAGAGACCTGGGTCTGCCCACCACTGTCCTGGACACCAGTCAGGGTGTTCTGGGCCTGCACCGCTGAGTCAGCCCGTTCCTGCTGCAGGCCTCTGGCGGAGGCCCGTGTCCTCTCCCAGCCTGTGATGCCCACTTTATGCATCCACTCAGCCGTGCCACAGTGCCCGGCTGGCGGCCACGCACCTGCCTTGCTGCTGTGCAGGTGTTTTCTGGTGGGAACACTTAGCTCAGCGGACTTCAAGTGAAGCTAGTGACTCTCCGCCATGGGGGTGGGCCTCGTCCCAGCAGCTGAGGCCTTGAGAGCAGAAACTGAGGTTTCCAGAAGAAAAGAGACTTTTCTCAAGACGGCCACGTGGAAGTCGTGCTGAGTTTCCCGCCTGCTGCCCTGTGGAATTCGGACTCAGATGGTGGCTTCAGCTCTTGCTGGTGCTTCTGGCCAGCCCGGCTGACTCAGTAGCCCGTTCCTCAAAGTCAGTCCCCGCATGCACCGGGTTCTGCCCAGTCGGCTGTTTCTGGGAGAGCTTGGTGGGTACATGGCCTGTGGGGCCCTCTAGCCTTTCTGTCCATGATGGAATGACCTTCCCTCCTCCTGCCTGGAGGGACCTGGGGAGACATCGCAGAGAGGCCGGTGTGGACAGAGCCGATGGGAGTGGAAAGGACCCTGGGCATCCGCAGATGAAACGAGCTGCTCTGGCGGCCATGCTCCCGCTGGGCAAAGGTGGACTCGCTGATTTGGGCAGCTGGAGCCATGGCTTCTTCACGGTCCTCAGAAAAAAAGCAAATGACTGCACCCAATCTACCTCCTCTGGAAGACCTCAAGGAGCTGATCCGATTTTGAAAACTTACACCAAGAAAATCAAAAGAATGAAGCATGTATCCTGCTTTTCTAGAGCAACCTTAGCATGACCAATGGGTCTTCTCTTTCTAGATGTTTCTCTTTAGAAAGTTTTCACCTGAGGAAAAGGCGTGAGGGACAAACTGCATTCATAGCCCCTGTCATCTCTGGATCCCGCAGGACGGTTGATCAGCGGATGCTGAGCCCAGACACAGCCCCTGTCATCTGTGGATCCCGCAGGACGGACGGTCAGTGGATGCTGAGCCCAGACACAGCCCCTGTCGTCTGTGGATCCCGCAGGACGGTCAGCGGATGCTGAGCCTGGAGACACGGAGGTGGCCGGCCTCACGGGCCCACCCCTGCTGTGGGAACCGCGGGGAGAGGACCCTGAGCAGGACCGTGACCCCACCTTCGGGGACATCGGTGGACAGCCACCGGTGTCCCCTCGATACATGGTCGCAAGGGGGACAGGGAGGGAGGGGAGGCTGGCGATCGGGGGAAGGCAGAGGGCAGGCAGCCGCTGGCCTCGCCTGGCCTGGTCCGAGTGCTGTAGACACCGGCGGCCGTGTGGGGGCTGTGGGCACTGACCATCACTGGCTTTTTAAGGGTCGCAGTGAAGCTGCAGCTGCACTTTACGAAGCCCTCGGCTCAGAGGCGGGCACTGGATTATTGCTTCTCAATGGCACAGGGCTGGGACGTCCTCCGCGAGGGTGTGGGTGGAATCTGAACTGGGGCTCACGCTAGAGATGCTGACAGTTTTCACATGAGATGCTTTAAAATGTGGCTTTGGCCCCTGCGCCTCCATCTCTGGTGTGGGTGCTCGGTGGCCAGAGCCTTCAAAGGCGCGGTTTCTACCACTGCCGCCGGTGGCTCAGCAGTGCCCAGCCTCGGTTGGCTCTGGTGCTGGGATGGGCAGGTGGTGGGGCTGACCTCAGCCGGGCTGCCTGTGCCCGAAGCCTCCACCTCTGCTTCAGACCGCATGGTCCTGGGTGCTTCTGAAACATGGCCGTGGTCCTTCCCGGGGCAGGTCTCAGGAGCACCACCCTGTGCCCCGCCTTCCCTGCCCTGGACGACGTTCCCGGCGGCGCAGCAGAGGCCGCTGCTGGCGAGTCGGAAGGCAGAGCTACGGGGACTGTGCCTGCCCAGGCTGGAGGACTCAGGCTGCCTGGACGTGGGGGTCTCCAGCGAGCTGGAGGGGGGCTACAGGGGGCCATGCTGGCCTCCCCACATCCAGGGGGTGTTCATGGGGGAGATGACTGGGTCCGGGCAGAGGGAAGCCATGGGGGTGTCCGCCGTGAATTGAGCCTGGAATGGCTTGGTCACCCTCTTGCTCTTGGCTGAATGGAGCTTGCCCAAGGCCCCAGGTCCTGGAGGCACTTTGCACACAGGACGGGCTTGACACGAGGTCCACTCAGGTTTGTGTCTTTCCACAAGGTCAGACTTTCACTGATGCTGTTTCAATCACAGACGCCACGAGCTACGTGGAGTTCCCAAACAGGTCACACCGCGGTCACAGCCACTCCACGCCGGTCAGTGCTGCAGGCCGTACACTGCCGTGTGCTCATCCGGTCAGGTTCCACGTTCCACCCAAAGTCAGGTTTAACATCATGAGAAAAAAGACACAGGACAGAGGGTTAATACCAGCCCAGAGGCCTGGCCTGGGCTGCTGCAGGCAGCTGTGAGATGGCGGTGAAGACAGAGGCCTCCAGGGAGAACTGAGCACGGCAGACAGGCTTGTGTGTGTCCTTATCTGGTTGGACTTGGACTCTATTTTTTTATTTGTTTCTTTTTTTTTTTTTATTGAGACAGAGTCTTGCTCTATCACCTAGGCTGGGGTGCAGTGGCGTGGTCTTGGCTCACTGTGGCCTCCACCTCCTGGGTTCAAGCGATTCTTCTGCCTCCTGAGTAGCTGGGATTACAGGCACGTGCCACCATGCCTGGCTAATTTTTGTATTTTTAGTAGAGATGGAATTTCACCATATTGGCCAGGCTGGTCTTGAACTCCTGACCTGAAGTGATCTGCCCACCTCGGCCTCCTCCCAAAGTGCTGGGATTACAGACATGAGCCCCCATGCCCAGCCAGTTTTTCTTGTTTTTTTGCTTTTTGGTTCTTAAACAGAACATCTTTTCCTTCTCGGTAGAGTGCCCTGTGAGACAAAATGGAGTCTTTTTCTAAGATGGAGTTGGTTATGCCAAGGGCTCTGTGCACAGGCCTGCCCTCCCCTGCTTCCGAGTCCCCGCAGCCCTGGCTCCACAGACGCTGCTCTGCCAGCTCTCACCTGGGCACCTGCCACTCGTGTTCAACCTTGACCCCACCTGACCCCACCATGACCCTGTGTGACCTCTGGGCTAGGGATCTCCTGGCTTCCCCCACGTCCCCAGCCGTCTTCTCAGTCTCTGCCCCCAGGGGTGACTGCAGCGCCCAGTGCTGCCTCAGGGAGTCCTGGCCCTTGCCTGGGGCACCCATGGCCTCCCACACCACTGGTAGCCCCGGGGCCCCGGGAGCGGGGGCAGGCATCAGTGCTGCCTTATTCCTGGAAGCCTGAAGCCACCTGGGGAGGGAGATCCAGCCGTGACCCCATGTGTGGTGGTCTTACTGGGCCTCTGTGGCCGCGCTCATCCGGCGTGTGTGCTGGGCCTGTGACCTCTGGAAGGGGCCGTGCTCGTCCGGCATGTGTGCTGGGCCTGTGACCTCTGCGGCCGCGGTCGTCTGGCATGTGTACTGGGCCTGTGACCTCTGCGGCCGCGCTCGTATGGCCTCCCACACCGCTGGTAGCCCCGGGCCCCGAGCGGGGCAGGCATCAGTGCTGCCTTATTCCCGGGAAGCCTGAAGCCACCTGGGGAGGGAGATCCAGCCGTGACCCCATGTGTGGTGGTCTTACTGGGCCTCTGTGGCCGCGCTCATCCGGCGTGTGTGCTGGGCTCAGATCTTCTGGCGGCCGCACCTGTCCGGGCGTGTGTGCTGGGCCTGTGACCTTGGAAGGGCCGTGCCTCGGGCCTCATGTGTGCTGGGCCTGTGACCTCTGGAAGGGGCCGTGCTCGTCTCAAGGTGTGCTGGGCCTGTGGACTCCTCTGGAAGGGGCCGGCTTGTCCGGGCGTGTGCTTGGGCCTGTGCACCCGCGGCCATGGGTCGTCGGCATGTACTGGGCCTGGGTGACCTCTGCGGGCCGCTGGCCATCCGGCACGTGTGCTGGGCTCAGACCTCTGGAAGGGGCCGTGCTCGTCCGGCATGTGTGCTGGGCCTGTGACCTCTGAAGGCCGTGTCGTCCAGCGTGAGTTCTGGGCCTGTGACTTCTGGAAGGGGCCGTGTCAGTCCGGCACGTGTGCTGGGCCTGTGACCTCTGGAAGGGGCCGTGCCTGGCCCGGCATGTGTGCTGGGCTCAGACCTCTGGAAGGCCGTGCTCTGCCCAGCGTGTGTTCTGGGCCTGTGACCTCTGGAAGGGCCAGCCTGGCCTCGCGGTGTGCTGGGCCTGTGACCTCTGCGCCGCGCCGTCCAGCGTGTGTGCTGGGCTCAGACTCTGCGGCCGCTGGCTGCTCCGGCGGTGTGTTGGCTCAGGACTCGCGGCCGCTACTGTCCGGCGTGTGTGCTGGACCCAGGACTCCTGGCGCCGCGCCGTCTCGGCGTGTGCTGGGCTCAGGACTCTGCGGCCGCTGTCCGGCGGTGTGCTGGGCCCAGACTCCTGCGGCCGCGCCGGTCTGGCGTGTGTGCTGGGCCTGTGACTTGGAAGGCTGCCTGGGCCCAGCGTGTGCTGGGCCTGTGACCCTGGAAGGGGCCGGCTCGGTCCGGGCGTGTGTGCTGGGCTCTGTGACTCCTGGAAGGGGCCTGCTCGTCCGGGCGTGGTGTTCTGGGCCTGTGACTCCTGGAAGGGGCCGTTGCCTGGCCCCGGCGGGTGTGCTGGGCCTGTGACCTCTGGCGCCACGCCGCTCGTCCGGCGCGTGTGCTAGGCCTGTGACCTCTGGAAGGGGCCATGCTTGTCCAGTGTGTGTTCTGGGCCTGTGACCTCTGGAAGGGGCCGTGCTCGTCTGGCGCGTGTGCTGGGCCTGTGACCTCTGCTGGGCCTCTGCAGCCGTGCTCGTCCGGCTTGTGTGCTGGGCCTGTGACCTCTGGAAGGGGCCGTGCTCATCCGGCGTGTGTGTTGGGCCTGTGACTTCTGCGGCTGTGCTCGTCCAGCGTGTGTGCTGGGCATTTGACCTCTGGAAGGGCAGTCAGGGTTTTGTCTAGGTCCCTCCGGAGCAGTGGGAGGAGGGTTTGGGGCAATTTGTCCCTTTGGGTGAGGGAAGGGTGGTAAGGCGGGTGGGGGGGGGGTGAGGTGGGTGAGGGGGGTGCGGGTCCTGTAGGGGGCAGAGGGCAGCGAGCTCCTGCAGTGGGATGGGCAGGCGGGTCCCTGGGGCACAGGCAGTGCAGGGCTGGGAGCTGGGATCTGGGTGTGGGTGCTGGTGGTGGTACTGATGATGCAGGAGGGGGTCTGGTCTGAGTGCTCTGTGTCAGATTTGGGCCCAATTACGTACTCCAATTGCTGCCACCACCTAATGGGCCGGTCCTGGTTTGGGGGCTCAGAGCCTGAGCCTGGGGTGATGGGGGCCCCGGGTTTGTGCCTGGATGGCCTGGTCCTGTCCTTCTGCCTCCGCGGCCAAAAGTCTGAGAAGTCTCCCTGTAGGCCACAGACGCTGGGGCTTCCCTCTTCCCTCTTCCCCCGGGAGCTCAGATGCTGGGGCTTCCCTATTCCCTCTTCTCCGGGGCCGTGGAGCTCAGCCTTTGGGGAGTCCCTCCCCTCTCCACGGTGCTCCCCAGGGGCTCTCCTACAGGACAGTGAAGCTGTGAGCGGAGTGGGGTCCTCTTCCCACCAGGCACCACGGCCAATGCTGACCTCCGCTTCCCAACTCTCCAAACCCTCCAGGCACTGCAGCCAACACTGACCTGTGCTCCCCAAACCCTCCAAACCCTCCAGGCACTGTGGCCGAAAAGTTCCTGAGGCCTCATTGGGGGCCCTGCTGAGTGGCCATGGGAAATGCCATCCGGTCCCCTGCCCTTGTCTCTGGTCGGCTCCCGGTGCCCTCTCTTGTAACTCCAGGCAGTAAGGACCTTCCCACTCCCCGCCTCCAGGTTCCCAGGGTGGCTGGAAGGCCTGGTGCCCTGGCAATCCTGGGTTTGAGCAGTGGTTTCTGCCTCCTGCCAAGGGGCTGGGCTTTGTGGCAGCCGGTCGGCCTCCCACGATGGGACGCTGGGGATTTCTCACGTGTTGTGACTGTCCTTGTGGGTGACTTATTGTGTCCTGAGTGGGACTGCACGGGGTTACATCCATACCCTGGTGCATGTATGTGAATTGAGAACTGCTGGGGGCACTGGGTATTGGGGTGGGGAACCTGGTAGGTCTGGAGCCTCTGAAACAGGGCGGTGCTGCAGAACGGGGTTGGGTGTCTGGTTTGTCTGTGCTGGTTACAGCCGGGAGCCAGGGCTGAGCTCTGGGCATGCTCGCGCTGGACCAGAAGCACTATAAATGACCCCGTCCAAAGCATAGGAGGGTGAATGCTGGGGTGACAGCTGAGATTGCAGGGTATGGTCTGAGTGCAGCTCTGACCGTTGAGGGAGAGAAGCCTGGCCCTTGCAAAGGGCCGCCAACCAGGAATGTCAGGGCTTGGAGAGCTTGGGGTCTGGCCATTTGTCAAAGCGTTTCATTTGAAGCTTTAAAGTTGGCTGTGGAGGTGCAGATTATGCTGAGGAGGATGTGTGAGGCTGAGAACAGCCCAGGATGAGAGGATGCAGGCGGGTCATGGCCCAAACCAGGCCCCAGGCTGGCTGTCTCAGGGGACTCCCAAGCAGGGGGCTGGAGGCACCAACACCTAGAGGAGGGGGAGAGGGTGGGGCCCTGGATGGTGGGTGTGAGCAGGAAGGAAGTTTGCCCTGAGACCCCTGCCCAAACGTGGGTCCTGGTTTGCAGGCCTCCTGCTGCAGGACAGCAGTTCCCAAGAGCCTGTGTTCTGCAGACAGACTGGAGCTGTGTGTGGCAGGAGGGGCAGAGCTCCCCAGGCAGGACCAGCCTGGAGGGGTTGGAGTGGACAGGAACCAGTGCCCCCTGCCCTGCCCATCTTCCTGAACATGTCGGGGAAGGGAGCCTGGCTCTGGCTGGTACACAGCCTGTCGGGAGGGGGCTGCAGCTCGCCCCCAGGCTCGGCAATGAGGACTCCTGCCAGCCACTGTCTGAAGCCAGGTTGCAGCCGGCCAGCTGCCAGCTGTGAGGCCCCAGGGCTCAGCTGCTCGCCGGAGGGGTGCTGAACTGGGGAGCGGGAGGAACCGGGAGGCAGGGGAAGGAGAACTTCGAGTCCCAGAGAGGGGAGGCCAAGATCTCCTCCTCCATGCCTTAGTCTCTGGGTAAACCCTTACCAGGCTGGGGAGTGGGGCAACCTTCAGCTGCAAAGGGGTCCCTTGCCTCGCCTCCCGAGGCTGTGGCTTCAGGGTGGGGCTTGGCCCTTAGGGCCTCACCTGACCGCCTCCCACTGCCCTTTCTTTACGCTACATCTCCCGACACCCAGGCCTTCACCTTGGGTGTGTGAGGCGGCACACAGCGGCACGGTGCCCACGGGGCAGCCGGGAGCTGACCAGCATCTTCACCTTCCCGCTCATGTGACGCTCCTCCTGCCGCGCCGAGACACTTACAACCTGCGCCATTCTCCACCAGCGCAACTCTTATCGGGTGTCAGCACCCCCACTTCACAGGTGAAGAGGTAGAGGTGTGCAGACTGGCAGCTGCCCGGAGCTACACAAACTAAGCTCACAGTGAGTGAAATACAGCAGTGGCTCCAGTGTCCTGCGATGATGTAAAAGCACATTTTCCCCATCAGGCTGGGAACCACCAATGCAGAACGCCCCAGGGCTCCTTTGCTGAACTCCACGGTTGCCCCAACCCGACCTCACTCCTTGGATGCTCCCCACTCCAGTGCCCGGACTCCTGGCTCCTTTCTCATGAAGATTCTCAGCCTCTTATTTGTGTGGTCTCAGAACTCTTGGGAGGAAGTCCATTTATGCTGTTTCATGCTAAAGTGTGAATGACTAACATACCAGACCTATTTGCTTTTTTTTTTTTTTTTTTTGAGATGGAGTCTCGCCCTGTCACCAGGCTGGAGTGCAATGGTGCGATTTCAGTTCACTGCAACCTCCACTCCCAGGGTTCAAGCCATCCTCCTGCCTCAGCCTCCCAAGTAGCTGGGATAATAGGTGCCCACCATCATGCCTGGCTAATTTTTGTATTTTTAGTAGAGATGGGGTTTCACCATTTTGGCCAGGCTGGTCTCCAACTCCTGACCCCAGATGATCCACCCACCCCGACCTCCCAAAGTGCTGGGATTACAGGCGTGAGCTGCCGCACCCGGCCTATTTGCATTTTAAGAAAGGACATTGTTAACCTTGGCACCATGTTTTCTTTTTTTTTTTTTTTTTTCTTTTTGAGACGGAGTCTCGCACTGCTGCGTGGCTGCAGTGCAGTGGCACGATCTTGGTTCACTGCAACCTCTGCCTCCTAGGTTCAAGTGATTCTTCTGCCTCAGCCTCCCGAGTAGCTGGGGTTACAGGCACCCACCACCATGCCCAGCTAATTTTTTTGTATTTTTAGTAGAGATGGGGTTTCACCATGTTGGCCAGGCTGGTCTCAACTCCTGACCTTGTGATCCCACCTCAGCCTCCCAAAGGGGATTATAGGTGTGAGCCACCGCGACTGGCCTTACACCATGTTTTCTTAATGTCAGCACAACTGGCATTTGGGCTGGATGATGCTGTGCTTGTGGCTGCTCTGTGGCCCTGCAGGGTGTTTGTGCCCCCCCTCCCCCAGCCTCCACTCCACTGGATACCAGTAGCATCTGCCCTCCACCGTGACGACCAAAACTGTCTCCCAGACGCACTAGATGCTCCTTGGGAACAAAGCTCTGGGGTGAGAAATAATAATTGACCTAAATGGATTTGCATCTCTGTAGGTGGGATGCCAGGAAGTGTGATTAAGCAAAGCCTGGTCTCCCAGGATGGGGCCAGCCTGTCTGAGCCTCAGGATGGACACACATCATGCTCTCTTCAACTCAACCACTGGGAGGATCTGAGAGAAACCAGGGAAGAGGGGCATGTCCGAGCCAGAAGTGGACCCACCTGGGCACCTTCCTGTGTGAGACCAGGGAAGAGGGGCGTGTCCGAGCCAGAACTGGACTCACCTGGGCACCTTCCTGCGAGAGACCAGGAAGAGGGCGTGTCCGAGCCAGA